TCTTCTTCCTACGAGGACACCATAAGGGGTGCATTGGGGCCCCTCCCATATGACCTCTCTGCTTTTTTTTTCATTTTTGAAATTGAAAAAAAATTTTTAAATTTACATCCAAATCAGTTATATAGTGTGATAATGATTTCAGGAGTAGATCCAGTGATTCATCCCCTACATATAACACCCAGTGCTCATCCCAACATGTGTCCTCCTTAATGCCCCTTGCCCATCTAGCCCACCCCCCTCCCACCATCCCTCCAGCAACCCTCAGCTTGTTCTCTGTATTTAAGCGTCTCTTATGTTTTGTCCCCCTCCCTGATTTTATATTATTTTTGCTTCCCTTCCCTTATGTTCATCTGCTTTGTATCTTAAAGTCCTCATACGAGTGAAGTCATATCATATTTGTCTTTCTCTGACTAGTTTCGCTTAGAATAATACACGTTAGTTCCTTTCCTCATTTTGTAAGGAGAGCTTATCCAGTTCCAGACTTTAAACACTACCTAAATGACTGACTCCCAAATAGATATTTCTAGCCCCCATTTCACCTTAAACTTAAGACTCATTTCTAATTGTCTACTCAATTATATCTACTTTTATAACCATAGACACCATAAACTAACATGTCCAAAACCAAACTGTTGATACCCCTTAAATATGTGTCTCCTTAGATGTCCCCTAACTCATTAAATCCAGGTGCTCAGCCCCAGCATTTTTGAGTTTTTCTCTTGTATGCCACTTCTAGTCCCTAAGCAAATCCAAGTTGATCGCTTTTAAAATATATCTCAAATGTGTCCACATACCATTTCCTGCAGCATTGCCATTCTATCCCAGCCATCATCATCTCTCTTCCCTCTCTCTTCCTGCCCCTTCCCCTTCTCAAGAATAAATAAATAAGCTTTTAAAAAGCCATAAATTAGACTGTAATTCTCTGCTGCTTAAAACCTAGTGATTTCTCATCAACCTTACCTGGCCCAGCAACCCCTCTAATTTTATCCTCTGTGAAAATCACTGTCACTCACTTGGCGTCTAGCTACTCCGGCCTAGCTTTCTTCAGTCATCCGAGGCACTCTGACCTTAGAGTTTTTGCATTTGCTGTTCTCTGCCTCAGACTCCTTCTCCAAGTAATCCTATGTCTTGTTCAGTCACTTCATTTGGGTCTGTACTCAGATGTCATCTCCTCAGACAGTTCTTTTTATTTTTTTATTAGTCATTCTGCTCAAAACTGCATTCTCCTAAAATCCCCACCCTTACTGTGCTTTATTTTTCTCTGTAATTCTTACTATTCTTTGACAGTATATCAACATTTTTTACCTATTTCCTGTGTCCACATTAGAATCCAACTCCCTGAGGGGAGGTAGGGAAAGGATTTTGTCTGTTAAGTTCACTGCTATATCTTCAGTATCTAGAACAGAGCCTGGCTCATACAAATACTAATATAGATTTGTGGAATGAATGGATGAATGAATGAATGAATGAATGAATAAGTAGGCTACACCTGTCCTTCGAAGGAAAGATTCTGAAGGAGTGGTGAAACTCACTGGGCAGGATTCACAATTCCCAAAACACTGCTTCTATCTCTGTGTGGTGTATACTGCGGCATATGCATACTTTTTTCCTGTAACTTGACATTTCCCCTTGGAATCCTTTCTAGCCTAAGTCTCTTTTTTTTTACCTACTCTCACAGGTTGCACTTTATGTCTCCATCCCACAAAAGTGGTCATACAGAATTAGTTTTATAAAATTGCAAATGCTCATACATAGAGACAGCAATTACTGTTAGGAGATGAGGGTTAGTTCATAATGGTGCTGAGAGCAGAAAATAAGGAACAAGAAATTTGAGACTTGGACAAATTAAATTCCAGACTTCTGGAGGAACGGGCAAATATCTTGGAGACAATATCCTTATGAAATCATAGCAAATGGGAAAGGTGACAAAAGATTGTACTGGTGATAACTCACCTGGAGTCTAGTGCACCATGTCTCATATTGAGTCCAGTCTGGGCACAAGATTTTCAGAAAGACCAGAGAATGTGTTCAGACATGGTAAGTAGTATAGTACATCATATGAGTACTGGCTGAAAAATAGTAATACTAGTAATTGCAGGGGCTCCTGGGCGGCTCAGTTGGTTAAGCGTCTGACTCTTGCTATAGGCTCAGGTCATGATCTCACAGTTTGTGATTGGGATTCTCCCTCACCCTCTGGCCCTCCCCTACTCATGCTCGCTTGCTCTCTCTCTCTCTCTCTCAATAAATAAACTTAAAAAAATAGTAATAGTAATTGCAGTACTATGTGCCAGTCATTATTCTAAATACTATTTGTAAAAACTTATTTAATGCTCATCCTATGAAATAGATACTGCCATGTCTTTTCAGATGAGATAATGAAGTTACAGAGAAGTTAAGTAACTCCCACAAAGTCACACAGCTAGTAAGAGGTAGAGCCAGTGATGATTTCATTCTGATTTTGGAGTCCATGCTTAACACGATGCTACTATCTTTTAATAAAGTGTGCTATTGAAGAAAAACGTGGATTACTGTAGAAGTTCTTAGAAGGCAGTATTAACCTCTGCCTCAGGCTCAGATGTCACCACCTTCTTCTCAGTCTCCCCAGTATATACTCTTATAATAGGACCAGTCATAGCACTTTATTATACTTGTTTGCTTGTATCTCTAACTCTCTTTTAACCTATATTTCTTCTGTTTTGAGAATTATATTTTTATGAACTTCTGACCCACTAAATTCAGTGTAGTGTTTGGCATATAATCAATACTCAGTTTTTGCTGAATGAAAAAAATGAATGGGTGATCTCTGAATTGATTAGAAGTGTCCAGTGGTAAGGTAATGAGCTTCTGATCACTGAAAGTATTCAAGAATAGGCTGATGCTTGAAGGGATGCTGCAGAAGGAAAAGGAACTTGTGGAAGTGGAAGATTAGACTAAGGTTCCTTTTAACTATGAATAATCAGATCCTGTAATGAATTAATTATGATTTTTCTCCAAACATTTGGTTAGCACCTACTATGTGCCTGGCATTGTTTTAGGCATTAAAGATAGAAAGACAAAAGTGGCCTAGCCAGTACCACTGAGGAGCTAGTCGTGAGTGAGTAACTAAGAAAAGAGATGCTCAAGAGAATAGGTTAAGGTTTTGGTAGATAAAAATACATTAAAAAGGAAGATTTTAGAGATGTTTTGAATAAATGGAGAAGGGAGAAAAAAGCTGTTACACAGGGGAGAACTGGAAATGAAAGATGACCCTAAGATTACCTGCCCGAGAAGGGGAGAATTTAGAAATAAAGACCACATGCTTTGTTGTTATGGGGGAATTCCCCAAAGGGAAATATCAGTGTTTGCCATCAAGGTATATTGCAGGGCTGGATGTAATTCAGTAGAGATTAATTAATTTGTGAATATTTTGAAATTCTTGGAACAAACGTTCTTCTCTTATTAATGTCACCGAAACAAATAAAGATGATTACATCTTCCTTGTCCTCTGTCCCCTTTAGGGGCATTGATGTTAAATGGACAGTCTATTAAGTCATGGGGGACGCTTCAGTTTCTTTTCCTATTCAAGCACCTGGAGTCTGTTAGGCAATGGGGAAGTAGAAGTCTTTCTTTATATTAACCTGGTCCCTCACGCTGTTCATCTTTCACACATGTCTAAATATGTCTTGACACAGAATCATCCTTTCTAGCTGGGACATGATGTCTAGGTAGGTGGGGAATTCCCCTGTTTTGTTTAAAATCATAGTTGTCTTTGAGTTTGGCTAGCATGTTCATGATTAGTTTACTGACAATTGGTTTTTTTCCTTCTTATACCATATGCTATTCCATGATTCATCTGCTTTGAGTCTGTTGCCTTGAAGGTGAAACAATTTCTTCCAATGTTGATATTTCATAATCTCAAAGATAACAAGCATACACATATGCATAGTCCTTTCAGAAGTTTTAAACATTTGGAGATGAATGAATTATGTTGCTACAAATGAAAAGGAGCAATATAAAATCATAAGGGTAATATCCAGTCATCTCTTCTTGGGAGAGTGGGTGAATACTAATAATGATAAAGCCTGAGTACTTTACTGTGTTTATCTTTTCTTGAGAAATTGTGGTGTGTGTTATTAATTTAAGAATTTTAATGTTTAATATTTTAATTGCTTTGATTTACATGTATTTTTATATTTGAAACTGACAGTTGGGGCGCCTAGGTGGCTCAGTTGATTGAGTCTCTGACTTCAGCTCAGGTCATGATCTCACATTTCGTGGGTTCGAGCCCCGCGTCAGGATTTGTGCTGACAGCTCAGAGCTTGGAGCCTGTTTCCAATTCTGTGTCTCTGTCTCTGCCCCTCCCCCACTCATGCTCGGTCTCTCTCTGTCTCGCAAACATAAGTAAATATTAAAAATTAAAAAAAAAGGAGGGCACTTTGGGGATGAGCACTGAGTGTTATGTAGAAACTAATTTGACAATAAACTATTTGTAAAAAAAAAAAAAAAAAATTAAAAAAAAAATTGAAACTAACAAGCTATTTGTAGAAGTGGGGATTAAATTCCAAATAAATTGTAACACGCACTGTTTGTATTGTAATGGTTGCATCTTTTCTATATTTAATGTGTAGCAACAACTGTCCAGAAATCTTTTAATTTCTGATATAGTCATCTTTCAAAATATTAATAAAATGCATTATATTTCTGAATGCAGTGCAAAGCAGTTATCTTTCCATGGGTATTTTCTAAGTGTGTAGATGATTAGACTTCTAATAAACATGAACCAAATTCATTTTCTGCACATAGCTTTAATCAGTGCACTTCTTGTGTTGAAGCATTTAGCCACCTTTTTCTATTTGCTCAGAATGGCAGTAATTGTTTTCAGTGAAGAAAAACTCTTTATAATTTCATGATATAGATGCCGTGTAAATATCTGTATAATTTATATGTTTGAAGAGAGATTTTTGAAAGACTCTAATTATCAGTGTATCTTCCTCCCTCCCTCCCTTTCTACCTGGCTTTAGCTCCTCTTTGGTTCAGGTGTGCTGGTGTCCCTAAGCCTCTCTGGGCCGCAGCTGGAGAAAGTAGTGATTGACAGAAGCCTGGTGGGGAAGCTCATCTCAGACTCCATCAGTGATGGTAATTACCCCCATGTGCAAGTCAATTGCCTACATTAACAGTGGGGCAGGAGAAATAGTATGTCAACAGGTGCACTAATTATTACCACTGGGGACTTGCAAACACAAGTAATCGCTTATAATAGCATAGTTACAACCCCTGGGACCAATACAAGTTTTGACTAATATTTAATACCAAAGATTTGTCAAGTGTTAAGCTCATATTCTGAGTATTTTTCACTTTTTCCTTTAAAAATGTGAATGTGTTTTCAAAATAGGGTATTTTTTGGGTGTGGTCTTTCAAAATTAGCCCCCTCTTGTTGACATTTTGAATATTTGCCATTTTGAAATGAATTTTGAAAACCTAACCCAAATGTGTCAACACAATCACCAATTTAAGAAAAAGCCATAATTTGGTGCATAGGACAATTCTTTGTTACCAAAGTCTATGAATATTAACTTGTGAGAGAATTTGGGCATATTTCTAAATATCAAAAACCAGTGCCAAGTATACTAGATGAGGCTCCATCCTTTTAAGTATAACACAACCAGTATGTAATTGGTACAAAGCACATAAAATTTTTTAAGCCAATTATTGAAAAGGTAGGATTCTGACATTTATTGAGCCTTGAAAGGCTATGTACTGTACCAACCTACTTATTTAATACTTATTTAATTAAAAAAAAACTTTATATGGTATAATTATCTCCATTTTATAGATAAGGAAATTGAAGCTAAGATACTAAGGAACATGCCCATGAATGAGATACTAAGGAGCACCTTGAAAATAACCAAACTGAGATTTGAACCCAGGTTCTAGCTACAGAGCCCATTTATTTTTCTGCTATACTGTGATGACTCCTGAGGTTTTAAGCTTATATTCTTTTACTGAAGGTAAAAAGGTTTAAGAAACAGGTTGCATTATCATTAGAGACTGAAAATTGTCAGTATCTTAAGTTGAATAATCAGAACAAAGTGTGGACCAGTGGAAAAGACAGAGGTGAGAGAAACTTTCCTTCTGCTATGTGCTCTCACTAGCTGTGTCTGAATGACTTAGACACAATTTCATCATCTTAGAGGAAAGCAGTCTGCAGGATGGCTATAATTAGCAACATTCCCGACAATAATAAGCTGGGGGTAGGATTGTAAGTGTGCCATTTCCTCTTCCTTACAGGAACATGGTGCCAAGGAAGCTTCCAATGGAAGAAGTTCCATTTTCATGTATAATAATTGACCCCTTTGTTGATACTACAAATAAAATAGTGGCTGTGATGATTTTGTCATGTTGATGCTCCTCTATAAGAAATAAAAGGAGACTTCCAACACTATTCATGTCTCTGAGATATCTTTTTTTACTTGTTTCTTTTATTTATGCCCCAAATAATACACTCTCATGAGACCATGATAACAATGTGATTTCTTGGCAGTTCTCCAGATTCGCCTGTAATTGTGTAGATATACTGTTGGTTGCTGCTTGCACAGCTAGGGGTGTGGAAGTGAAGAAAAATATATGAAACATTCTATAATTTCATTATGCTAGGAACAATATGAAGTATTTCTCATTCCTATCATATGTTTTTATCAATGATTTTTAATATTAATAGCCCTTTATGTAACTCATGAATATTGTCTACCAACTAGTGTGCATTAGAAATAAAGCTGTGAAATATTTTTGCTAGTCTTCATTATTAAATCATAATTTATGTAATGTGCATATTGACTATAATATGCTTTATTTCATTCAGCTTGTATACTCTCAAAAAGAAAGTTCATTGATGAAAAACTTAAAAAAATACATAAGATTGGTGGAGAACACTGATCTGTGACCAAAAAAAATCAGTTTGTTCTTGGACGGTTCATATCATATAAATGCAGGATGAAAGGCTAAGCACAAAGAAATGTTTTCATATTTACATTCAGTATGGAATAGTCCTTATTTTATGCTTTTCTAGCCCTAGTTCCAAATATATCTCATTTGGTGGTTGTTCCCAAATGTCAGTGCATTATAAAATGGTCTCAGGATAAAAGGAAAAGTATCAAATCCATGCATCACTAGATTGATGATTATTGTTTATTCACAAAATCTTTAATTTCCTTGTAAAAATGATATTTAGGAGTCTAGTTATTTCAGTTGGTATTTATGTTCTGAAAATAGCTTTTTATATTTCAGTGAAAAATTTCTTAATTCATTATCATTTTATTCTAACTTAGTATTTTACAGTATTTTATCAAATCTTTTTTTCCTTAGCTCTTCTTACAGACAACTTTATCATCTTATCATTTTTGGCACAAAACAAACTATGTTTTATTCAGTTTACCAAGAAGATGGGTTCTCCTGATGTAAACAAAAGACTGGAAAAACTCTCAGCCTTGGATTATAAGGTAGAGATTTCAATTTATAGTCATATCATTAATTATTAAAGTTTGCTAGAGTATCACATGGGCTGATACCATGTTCATTATTCTTGGACATTTCTCGATTTCCAAAAAACCAGAATTAATTAAATGATTAAGGTTGATTTCATAAAAATAGTGGCTATCCTACCTTTTCTTTTTTACTCTCATTATAGAGGTCTAATAATCGCATGTTTGGTACTTATGGAAATCAAAGACAAGTAACAGAGATAAATTACACATTTGAAAATGCTTTTCTTCTTAAGGGTAGTATATATAGCATTCTCATTTTTCCCTAAGGCCTCATATCATCTTTCTAGGCAAGGATAGCTACTTTAGTTTCCATTTCACAAGAAAAGAAAGAAAAAAGAAGGCACTCTCAAAGGTTAATAGAAAAGTGTAATAAACAAGGAGAGGAAAGATACTCCCCACACACACATACACCCAACTATATCTGAAGAAAAATGCAAAACGAAATCTCCTTCATAGGTTAGTATCTCTCCCTTCACTAACTCCAGGTAATTTGTTTCCTTGTATCAGAGACTTTACATCTGTTAAGGAAGGATTTTTATTTTAAATGATGTGTTTAATATAAGTTTTGCCACATTACATTTTAACTGCTTAGAAGGCATACTCTCTGCTAGGATGAGTATCTAATACATTTTCCAGGCTGTTTCAGTTCAAGGCCTCTTTTCAGCAATGACTTGTGTTTGCAAGATTGATCCAGCCTCTGTGACGTGGATTTGAGACAGTTCACTGTTCACTGGGAACAGAGCTGATATACAGCTTCCTTAAAAAAGATGCACACTTATGCCATACCCAGAGTATCTATCCGTAATAAGGGCAAAGATTTTTAGAAGTCAGCTTTATGTCTTGAAACTTTGTGTGAGTATTTGAAAAAGTAGAATTTAAACTAACCTTTTGCCCTTTGGGATTATTTCTTATTGTGATTGAGGTGGCAGTGGTATGGGGAGGATTTAATTTTATTTGGTAGAAACCTCTATTCTTATAAAATTTTTTTTGACATGAGATAAAATACAGTAAATGAGTTTTTCATTGTGGTAATAAACTAATTTGGTCTTGTTTGCCAATCTTGGGAAGCTTCTGTAACATTTAATACTGATTTTCTTTAGTTGGAAAATCAGTGGTACTCTTGTATTCTATTCTGGTTAGTAAAAAAAAACCAAAAACTGGTATTAGCACTCTTAGTGGCGTGCTGTTTTCCAGGTGGGCTAATTGTAGATTTATTTGAAATGTTGTTTATTTACTAATACTGGTCTTTAAAATGCATCAATACGGAGTGAGTAAATAAATAAGTAAATGCTCCAATATGCATTAATTCAAACTATTTAAAATGTTTTCACGGCATTTGTGTAAAATTTTGTATGACTAGTTTTTCCATCTTAAATGTGATGGATAGCTTAGTAAAGTCTTCTCAACTGAAGGATAGTAACTATCCATTAATGAGATCAGAGAGAAACTGTCAGGATTCATCTTTTCTTATGAAGAGATGTGGAAAATAGACCTGGGATTTGGACTCTTGTACCTTAAATAAGGGAAATGCTTGTTTGTTTATTTTTCCTACCTTTGGATTTGAGAATAACATGGGGACTCCATGTCTATGCATTGGAGAAGGAACCTGCTTCCCTTTGGAAAAGCCCATGGATTTCACTTTCTGGTTCAATATTTAATATATATAGATTTAATACTTAGTGAAAACAGCCATTTGTTGGAAGGTTAATTTAAGAAACTTGTTCACTTTACTTGTCCTATTGACCATCATGATAGAAAACTGATGCCATTAAAACTCACAGGAAACAGGAAATTTCAGATAACATACATGATATGCACTATGAGGACTGAAAGTGCCAGTTTCTTGTTTTAACTGTTTTCTCATTTAGAAATTCCTAAGTAACATGTTTACATGGCAATAGGATGTCAAAATAACGTATGTGTGTCAAAATAACGGACCTAGCAATCCCATTGTGGTATTTCTTTCAAATAAGAAAATAAGTAGTTAAAATAATAATATTGAGAGCATAAATATAAGAATTTGCACTTCAGAGCATGAAGTACATCTGTGTTATCTGTCATTGCCCATTTGGATTTTAAAACAAAGAAATATGTATCTATAATTCTGCTTTTCTTTACAGCTGTACCATAATTCATTCAGATTGAAATAATTTTGGTAAAGAAAATTGCAGGGTAAATATCTTGAAACTACTGACCTTTAACAAGTTTTCCAGGCTACATTTGAAAAATCCAATTCAATTTATTTAACAGTGAAGGGACAGTGCAAGGAGTTAAATGTTTACCATGAGAGAACAACACTGGTAATTACTTTGATTTCAGTTCCTTTTGATGTGCATTCACAGGATGAAGAGGTCAATAATATTATGGCCATGCAAATAGAAAAGGGTTCCTTTTGACCATATGAAAAAAAATAGCAGAGGATTATTAAAGCATTAACCTTGATTTTAATGGCCTTGGTTGAGTGGTGAGATCACAATTTGGATGAGCCTGATTATTTACTAAATACAATACATAAATGCAACGGGTTCTTAACACCCATTGCACTCTGGCATTATCGCATTACTGCCATCCTTTGTTGCCTTGCAGACAGGAATATGAAAGCAATCTGTCATGTAGTGAGACTGGCTCCAGAAGCATTTCTCTGATAAGAAGACCCCCTGCCCTTTGCTAGTGTCTGGTCCAGTAGGCTTAGCCATGCGCTTAATCCCCAGAAAGTGGTTCGATTATTGCTGACCAGCAATGGCAAGATAGTTTTTTTTTTCTTCCAAGCTATCAACCTTCCATTAATTCCTTAAGCAGAAATACGGTGCAATCTATATTTCCTTGGCATGTGTCACCCAGATGGTGCCGTGCTTATGTTTTCAAATAACCATGTTCCAAAATAACATAGTTTGAATAATAAATTCTACAAATCCTTCCTAAGAAAGAGAAGCATAATTCTCAGAAGCTGCATAAACTTTTACGCATGATGCTGTGGCTTATCCCTTTATGCAGAATATATGTGTATGTGTTTCATATGTTCTTTAAAGTGATATTTGTCTCAAGTTGTTTTTCCTTTTATTGTTGTCACTCATTGTTAACGTGTTATGTCTTAAACAGTAGTCAGATACTCTTGGTCAGCAGTACTGAACTTGTCATTTAATATAGCTGGTCGTAAATCCTATGTGTAGGTCGATGCTGTCAAGCAGCCATGACTGTACATTTTGGTATTGACTGGGATTGCTACAGCCAATTCCTCCCTAACTCACATTTCTCCTTCTCCTTTCCTCTGCTAAAAATGGGGAGAATTTTGAACATATGTCTTTTTTATATATGTGTCAAAAGAATTTGGTAAATTCTGACACCTCCTTAAGCACATGTTTAACATGCATATTTACTTGCATTTATCTCCATTTACAGATGCTTTAATTTTTGTAATACATTGAGGATTTTGCATTAAAAAATGATTCTTGTATGCTTTTTTTTTCTAAATCATTAGATTTCCTATACTGAGATACCGGGCCCAGTCAACAGGACAGCAGACCGTCATCTGGCAATCAATTGCGTTCAAGATACAGTTGTTTGCTGGTGGCCGCTGGTCAGTGATGATGCTTGGCCTTGGGCCCCCATTTCTCCCGAGAGGGACAGAGCCAATCTGCTGCTCCTAGGTTATACTCAAGGAAGACTGGAGGTAAATGTAAAGCAAACATATACATTTTATTGAAGTGCAAATAAAATATGATTATTAGTTTTTTTGCCTCTGAAATAAAGGTGATTTACTTTTTTTTAATGTATAATTCATTTTTCTAAATACTCAAAAAAGGAAATTACATATAAATTGGGATCCTTCAAAGTATCCTATCTCCAGGATAAAAAGACAGTTCCAGGGCTGGCCTGAGTCTCACAGTGATTAAGAACACAGGCTTCTGGGTTCAAATCCTGGCTCTGCCACTACCTAGCTTTCTGTCCTTGGACAAGTTATTAACCTGTGAACTGTGGGTTTTGTCATCTGAAAAATAGAGTTAACGAAGATAAGTTATGACATGCGTTTAGAGCAGTATCCACATATGGTAAACTCTGAAACACTGATCATTATTGATTCTTGTTATTATCATTATTAGTACTATCATTACCGCTTGCCTGTAATTTCTTGCCTGCCAAAGTTATGTTATCTATCAATCACCTTCTTTAAACTTCAGTCAGTGAATCAGCAAACATTAGTCAAATGCCTATTTTTTGGATGACTGTGGAACCAAACCATGCCTAATGCAAGAATTTATAAGGAGGGTTGGGGCGCCTGGGTGGCTCAGTCGGTTAAGTGTCCAACTTCGGCTCAGGTCATGATCTCATGGTTCGTGGATTTGAGCCCCGCGTCAGGCTGCTCAGAGCCTGGAGCCTGTTTCAGATTCTGTATCTCCATCTCTCTCTCTTTCTCTCTCAGAATTAAATAAATAAACATTAAAAAATTAAAAAAAAAAAAGAATTTATAAGGAGCGCCGTAGAGCAGTGGCCTTCTCACCTGGTATCCTGCCTCAGACATGAGCACCAAAAGGGTTAATCTAGGAGGTGAGGACAGTATTTGACCCTGTCTGTTCTTGACAATGGTTCTATCATCATTCATTATGGTGAACCTATGGGTAATTTCAACTTGCACCAGTACTTTGAGAATGGAATTTGTTTTTCTTTTTTATAACTTAAAAGCAACCCTCCCTCATTCTTTTTTAGGTTTTTGCCTGAGTAGAATATAGTCAGTTCAACTTATAGATGATTTGTCTTATGATTCTTGACCTCACCAGGATGTGAAAGCAATTCACATTCAGTAGAAACCATACTTGGAATTTTGAATTTTGATCTTTTCCCAGTCTAGCGATACATGTTAGGCTCCTCTCTCATGATGCTGGACAGTAGCAGGCAGCGCAGCTCCCAGTCAGCCATGAGATCACAAGGAAAACAACTCCAACCCTTACAACCATTCCGTTTTTCCTTTCAGTACAATATTCAGTAAGTTACATGAGATACTCAATACTTTATTATAAAATAGGCTGTGTGTTAGATGATTTTTCCCAAATGGTGGCTAATGCGAGTGCTCTGAGGATGTGTAAGTAGTTGAGGCTAAGCTGTGAGGTCCAGTAGGTTAGGTGTATTAAATGCATTTTCAACTAAGGATCTTTCCAATATATGATGGGGTTTTTGGAATGTGAAGCCATCATAAGGCAAGGAAAAACTGTAGTATGCTTCTATATTTTCTCTAAATTTATTTTGATTTAGGCTTTACGGAGTATTTCTCAGAGTTAATATTCTGAGGTAGAATTAACAAGTCCAGGTTTTTTCTATCCCTACCTACTTTTTCTGGTGTTATAAACTTTCAGGCTATCTTTCAAGACTGTAGAGTCCTTTCTAGTTAATTAATTAACCTTTTTTGTGGAACTTTTCCAATTTTGTTGTAGTAACTAAAACCACTTGTAATGCTTTAGGTGTGGATTTTGTGAGGCTAAGGAAGTGCTTTGTTCCTGTTCACCGGCTTTTCATGCCCACTGTTTTATTGATCTTGGGTTCAGAAGCTAATTGAGTAAAAGAGTTCATCAAAATGACTGTAATAAAGCTAATTAGAATTCTACTAAATGTTCTGCCTTAGAATAAAGGTAAAAATAATTTAGGTAAACGTTACACAAATTACCTGTATTTGAAATGAGTGTACTACATGAAATTAGGAGTGCTTTAAAGGATATACATATGTTTTATTATACCTCATCTCCTGCTGTCATCTAGATGATGTTTTTTGGAGTTGGACAAACTTGGTTTACCTGTTGGTTGGATGATACACATACTAACTGTGTGACATTAATCAAGTTTACTGCCTCTAAGCTTCTGCCTGCCTTTAGCTAATTTTGTGTTTTTTGGCCTTGGATAGATCACCTGTCCTCTCAGACTTTAGTTGTCTTTTTTAAAATGATAGATTTCAACCAGACAGATCACCTCTTTAGGTCTGTGATAGCTCCAAAAAGTGCTCATCTGGATTGTGAAGCACAGATCTGATTTAGCCATTGCTTGCTCAAATGCCTTTAGCATAAGTAAACTTAGCCTTGGCATTGAAAAGCCCACATTGACTGGCTGAGACCTACCTTTCCAATGTCATTTCCTTAGGCAAACCTGTGTTTTAGCCAAGCGGTTTGTTTAATCACTGCCTCTTATTTTTCATGTCCTGTCTATACACATTACTGGTATTTCTACATGAAAGGCCCTTCCTTCTGTTTCTACATCATTTGACAACGATTGAGCATGACACTGATGTAAACACTGTATTTCATTCTAGGGAATATGAATACAAAAATATCCCCACCTGCAGGGATCTTAGTGTCCACCAATGAGAGACAAATATGAAAACATGTAGGTGCACCAAAGCATTAAATGGCTCTGTGGATAGAGTATGTGTATGCTATAGTAGGAGCCAGTAGGGAATGACTGATTCTACTTAGACAGTAAGGAGGAAACATTAAAGTGGTTTTACAATTTGCTCAAATATGAGATTGGTAAACAATTTTACTTTCTTTTTCTGTCTTTTCTAAGTTACATATGAAGGTTGTACTAGACCTATGGAGTGATTTGGCTAGCTTTTTCTTTTTCTCCTTTTTGAAACAATACCAAAGGGAATTATCTGATATTTGAGTGTTTGGTAAAACTTACATACAGAATTTGCCTGGGTGTGGTGTCTTAAAGGAAGGATTGCTTGGTTTTTAGGAATTCTGTTTTTTCCTTAATTTGTACTTCTGGAAAATTACCCATTTTATGTAACTGTTCTTTTAATAGATTTTCATAAAGTTGTACATGATACTTAAACATCATTTTCAAATTTTTATTTAAATTTTACATAGTTAACATACAGTGGAGTATTGGTTTCAGGAGTAAAATTCAGTGATTCATTGCTTACGTACAACACCCAGTGCTTATCGTAACAAGTGCCCTCCTTAATACCCATCACCCATCCAGCCCACTCCCCACCCCTCTCCCTCCATCAATCACATTTTGTTCTGTCTCTGAGGGTCTCTCATAGTTTGTTTCCCTCTCTCTTTCTTTCCCCCACCCCTCTTTTATGTTCATCTGTTTTGTTTCTTAAATTCCACATATGAGTGAAATCATGTGGTATTTGTTTTTCTCTGACTGATTTATTTTGCATAGCATAATACACCCTTGCTCTATCCACGTCATTTCAAATGACGAGATTTCATTCTTTTGATGGCTGAGTAATATTCTGTTGTGTGTGTGTGTGTGTGTGTGTGTGTGTGTACGTGTATACACACCACATCTCCTTTATCCATTCATCAGTCAGTGGACATTTGCTTCTCTCCATAGTTTGGCTTTTGTTGGTAATGCCGCTGTAAACATTGGGGTGCATGTATCTCTTTGGATCTGTATTTTTGTATTCTCTGGGTACATACCTAGTAGTGCAATTGCTAGATTGTAGGGTAGTTCTATTTTTAACTTTTTGAGGAAACTTCATACTGTTTTCCAGAGTGGCTGTACCAGTTTGCATTCCCACCAACAGTGCAAGAGGGTTCCCCTTTCTCTGCATCCCCACCAGTACCTGTTGCTTCCTGTGTTGCTAATTTTAGCCATTCTGACTGGTGTGAGGTAGTATCTCATTGTGAGTTTGATTTATATTTCCCTGTTGTTGAGTGATATTGAACATCTTTTCATGTGTCTGTTAACCATCTGTGTGTCTTTAGAATAAAGTGTCTGTTCATGTCTTCTGCCCATTTCTTCAATGGATTATTTGTTTTTTGAGTGTTGAATTTGCTAAGTTCTTTATATATTTTGTATACTAACCCTTTATCAGATATGTCATTTGCAGATATCCTCTTCCATTACATAGGCTGCCTTGTAGTTTTGTTAATTGTTTCCTTCACTGTGCAGAAGCTTTTTATTTTGATTAAGTCCCAAAAGTTCATTTTTGCTTTTGTTTCCCTTGCTCCTGGCGATGATGATCGATATGATTTTTAGTTATTCATCACTGATTGCATAGCTAATACCCTCCTTTTCACTCCTATATATTAAGATACAGAATTCCTTTTTTTAGTAAGAGTAGCTTTTTCTTGGATTTGGCCCTTTCAGTCAATCTATCAAAGTTAGACTCTTGGCAAAATTTGCAAAGATTTATTTTTCAGGGAGTGCCTGGGTAGCTCAATCAGTTGAGCACCCGACTTCAGCTTAGGTCATGGTCTTGTGATTCGTGAGTTCAAGCCCTGAATCAGGTTCCCTGCTGTCAGGACAGAGCCTGCTTCAGATCTTCTGTCTGCCCCCCACCCCCGCCCCTCCCCTGTTTGTGCTCTCTCTCTTAAAAATAAGTAAACCTTTAAATTTTTTTAATGTTTATTTATATTTGAGAGAGGGAGAGAGAGAGAGCGAGCGAGCACAAGCAGGGAGGGGCAGAAAGAGGGGGGGTGGGACACAGAATTAGAAACACGCTCCAGGCTCTGAGCTGTCAGCACAGAGCCCAACACAGGGCTCAAACTCATGAATAGTGAGATCATGACCTGAGCCAAAATCAGATGCTCAACCAACTGAGCCACCCAAGTGCCCCCCAAATAAGTAAATCTTTAAAAAACATAGCTAAAAAAAAAAGATTCCTTTTTCAGAACCTCATGTGAACTTACATATGCAAAAGGTGAATGTCTTTTGATCAAATCTCTAGGGAAATAATTATTTTTTTCACATTGAAGACATGATTTTTAACTATGAATTAATTCTAGCACATTTTTTAGAATGCCATGAACAAAAACCACTAGTCTATAAAAGCAATATTCAGGCATATGTCTTTAAATTTTTTTCACTGACCACCAATAGACTTCTTGAACCAATGATCAGAATAAAAGACACAATATATTCTTAAACTGAAAAATTCAAACTAAAATAGCAACCTCATAGAGAGGAAATTTAATCATTGCATCTGTTAAAACATAGGATTTTTAGGAGCACCTGGGTGGCTCAGTCAGTTAAGTGCTGACTTTGGCTCAGGTCATAATCTCACAGTATGTGGGTTCAAGCCCCACATTGGGCTCTGTGCTGACAGCTTGGAGCCTGCTTTGGATTCTGTTTCTCTCTCAGTCCCTCCCCCACTCATACTCTCTCTCTCTTAAAAATAAATGAATAAACATTAAAAAATATAGAATTTTTAAAAAGCATTTCCCACCCAAATTCAATCAGAAAATATAATAAGCTTTTAGTTAGAAAGCATTAAGATCCTAGAGTAGTGGTTCCCAGCCTTGGCAACACATTACAATCACCTGCAGAGCTTTTACAGAGGGGCCCATCCAGACCCGTTATATCTGAATCTCCTGAGGGGGAGGAGGCACCAGTATTCTTTAACAGGTTCCCTAGGTGATGCTCATGTGCATCCAAGTTGTGATCCACTGCTTTACAGGAAACTAAAAAAAAAAAAAAAAAAAAGCCATCAGTTTTGTATAACAGACCATGGAAAGGATAAAGCCCACATACTGAACCAAATGAGAGTTTTAACAGTAGATTCTAAGTAGAAAATTGGCTTACCAAGCAACTAAAAAAAAAAGAAAACAAAGGAAACACAGAACTAAGCTCTCTGTGACTGAATTATCTGTCTTTCAGAGGAGGAACATTTTTAAATTTATTTTATGGATATTAGAAAACTCTGGTCTAATTTCACACTGCAGAGCTCTAAACAACAGCACATATCTTAATTAGAAGCAGAGAGCAGAGACAGTTATGTAGTCTAGGAAAAAAAATTTCTTTTGAAAAATATACAATAGATAGTGTGCAGAAAAAGAAATTTTTATCACTAAATTCATTTTAAAACAGCTTTTAATGGTGTATGTGTGGATTATCATCTATAACATGGCAATCATTCTTATTTAAATTCCACATACTCTTTATGTATTCCTTTTTAGAAAGTTATTGTAGTCATCATAGTATGATTTAATTCATTCACTTTGTCAAAAATGTGATGACAACACAATTAATTATTCCCTTGCCTTTGTATTTGAGCAGGTATTTTAACTTTTCAGCTATATGGATTAGATAATACTTTCTGAGTATGATGGTAATTTCAAGATGTATTACTCAGAAGGGGTCACCGAGTTTGTTTACCAAATTAATGAAAAACACAGAACCAGAGCTATTAAACCTTAAAACCTGCAGTCAGGGATAGAGAAATATAACTTCACAAAGATAACCTTTTTCCCATAAAACTTAAAAACTGTTTTTGCAGTGATTTAGAGGAGCAGCAACTGATGAAAAAGTAAAAATGAGACCAACTTTCAATATGGCATAATTTGATTTAAGAAAACATTTAGAAAAGTATTATAAATGCATTCAACTGAAAAGCCAGAATATTTGAGAATCATCTCTTCCAAAGAAAGGTATGTACTGTTAGCTTTCAACTAAATAACAAAGATTTTATATTCTAGTGATGATAGCTTTTAAAAAATTTCTTTATTATTAAAAAAACACACACACATTAAAAAAAAACCCACATGAACTAAATGTATTGTTTAGTGAGCTATTACAAAGGAAATACCCCTGGAATCACACTCAGGTCAAGGAGGAGAACTTTGTCAGGTATCCAGAAATACTATTAAGGTACTATCATGATTTCTGTTCCCCAGAAGTACCCTCTATCATGACTTTTAATCACTTTATGTATACCCATATATCCATGTAGTTTTTATCACCCTAATGCATCTCCTAAAACTGTAGTTTAATATTATTCATTTAGAACACTTTAGGGCGCCTCAGTCAGTTGAGTATCTGACTTTGGCTCAGGTCATGATCTTGGCATTTGTGAGTTCGAGCCCTGCATTGGGCTCTCTGCTGTCAGCACAGAGCCTCCTTTGGATGCTATAGCCCCCTCTCTCTCTGCCCCTCGCTTCCTCTTCTCAAAATAAACATTAAAAAATACAACACCACTTTAATGTTTCTTTCACTGTACAAGATTCCCTCATCCCATTGCTTTCTTTTCCTTAAAATTTATCTTTTGAAACTGCAGTGTCTCATAGTGTGGATTTTGTTGTTTGCATAACCATGTGGTTCAACATGTTTTTCTGTGTTTTGAAAATTCTGCAGGTTAGTCAGTTTTGGCAAGACTGTGTGTGTAGGGGGTTGTGTTCTTTTCATCAGAAGGCACGTAGCGTCAGGTTCTTTTCTTGGTTGTCTCTCTTCTTTGATGTTAGTGGCTATTAATGCTCGGTGCCTAGATCCATTAATTCATTAGGGTTGCAAATGGCGATATTCTAATTATTATTATTGGCTCAGGTCATCATCTCACAGTTCACAGGTTCGAGCCCCATGTCAGGCTCTGTGCTGACAGCTAACTCAGAGCCTGGAGCCTGTTTTGGATTCTTTGTCTCCCTCTCTCTGACCTTCCCATGCTTACGCTGTCTGTCTGTCTCTCTCTCTCTCAGAAATAAATAAACATTAAAAAAAATTTAAATCTGACTCAAAAAATTCATTTTAGGAATGAAACTACCAACTTGTTTATCCTTGAAATTAGAAATTCTAAGACCTTTAGGATTCTTCTTTACCTCTTCTGTTCTTTCTTAGCTTGAATTTTTAAACTCTTATTATTTCTTTCTTTATCACAGTTTTCTTTAAAAAACAAAAATAAACGAAGTTGGTTAAGTGGCCAACTTTGGCTCAGGTCATGATCTCACAGTCCTGCGTTTGAACCCTACATCGAGCTCTATACTGATAGCTCAGAGCCTGGAGGCTGCTTCTGAGTCTGTGTCTCCCTCTCTCTTCTGCCCCTTCTCTGCTCGCACTCTGTCTGTCTCTCTCTCTCAAAAATAAACAGTAAAAAACAAAAACAAAAAGCAAACAACAAAAAAATAAAACATTGATTCATGGTCATCCATTCTTGTCTGGTGTCATAGTCTTTCTTAACTGGCCCACTGGAACATTGCATAATCTGTGGTTCAGCTAACACACTGCCTGTGTTTCTGTGCTTTTTTTCTTTGTACCTTTCTATTACTTTAGAATTAAAGCAGAGATCTTTTTCTATAGATCGCCAGACTTTAAGCAGGCCACCACGCATTATAAATGTCTTTATTATTTTACCCCTTAATTATCGACACTGTTCTTCAGCATCTCATTGTTTGCCTGTTCTCTATGCCTTTGTTAAAACTTTTCACCATGTTCTTTACCACAGCCATTCCCACTTGAATTCTACTTACTAGTTCCTGAAACCTCTGGCATATATTTTTAAAGAATCATTAAAGAGTTATTAGATTTCAGAATTCATCTAATCTGAGGAGTGCCTGAAGATAGGATTAAGACCAAGAACTCAAGGTTGCTAAGAGAGTAAGTCTTACAAGTACCTATCACAAGAAAGAAAAAAAAAGTTTATAACCATGTATGATGATGGATGGTAATGAGGCTTACTATAATGATCATTTTGCGATATATACAAACATTGAATCATCATGTTATATGCCTGAAAGTAATATATGTCAGTTATACCTCAAGAAAAGGAAAAAAAGAAAGACCAAGAAATCAGTGAAAGAAGGGAATTCTTGGTCATGAAGTTTGTAGAGGATAACATTGAACAAGACTTAGGGAAGATGATAGTAGACTTCAAATTAATCTTGTTAGCTTATATGAATATCAGCAGCCAGGGTCCTCTGTTTTTGGCTTATTTTCTCTCCTTTGTGCTTTTATCTTCAGAGCACTGTCATTTAACATTTCTCCCTTCACTGCACAACATACTTTTTATTTCTTTATCTTAGCATTGTATCTTGACTTGCTCATCTTCTGACCAATACTTCAAACTAAGTTCACATGGCAAGGAAAACCTAGCTGCATAAATATGAGAGGTATCTTCATAAATGCAAGTCTGGATTTTAAAAAGTTTGTATTTTTTCTTGGTATTTTGCAATAACTACATAATTGCATTTGGCGTTTTCAACTTCTTGTTTGCAAATGATGTGCTAACAGAGCACCTTACATCTAGAAAATGTATTGACAAATTTTCCTTTCATATAACTCTTCAATCAGTAGGGTATATTTTAATAACTTCATTTTATTTTTTAAGTTTTTATTTTGAGAGAGAGTGTGTGCACATGTGCAAGTGTGAGCAGGGAAGGGGCAAAGAGAATCCTAAGCAGGCTCAGCGCTGTCAGCATAGAGCCTGATGTGAAGGTTGAACTCACGAACCGTGAGATCATGACCTGAGCTGAAACCAAGAGGCAGACTTTTAATTGACTGAGCCACCCAGGTGCTCCAGAAAAAAAAAAAAGAAAGAAAAGAAATAAAGAAATAAACCTTTGCTGTTTAAAAGAAATAAGTAAGTCCTTAAGAAATAATATATAAGTCCTTAATAAATAATAAATAAGTGTTTTATGAGAGAGAGATATACAAGTAGATATGTACATACATATTTATGTGTTGTTGATGTTTAAGGTGATAACTGATGGCCTTAATAGTATGCTGGATTAATATCCAGTCCTATGAGTGACAACTGAAGAAAACCAAGATCTGTGTGAACATACTTGGTACATTTCTTACAGGTTCTGAGTTGTATCCGCACAGAATGGGATCCGCTGGATGTTCGCTTTGGCACCAAACAGCCTTATCAGGTGTTGGCAGTGGAGCACTCCATCAGTGTAGACAAAGAGCCCATGGTTGACAGCTGCGTCTATGAATGTGTTCGGAATAAAATCCAGTGTGTATCAGTAACCAGAATACCACTGAGATCGAAGGCCATTAGCTGCTGCAGGAACGTTACTGAAGACAAACTGATTCTGGGCTGTGAAGATTCTTCAGTAATTCTTTATGAAACTCACCGTAGAGTAACTCTCTTAGCCCAGGCTAAACTTTTGCCTTCATTAATAAGCTGCCACCCAAGTGGCGCCATTCTACTAGTTGGCAGCAACCAAGGGGAGCTGCAAATTTTTGATACGGCTCTATCGCCTATTAACATCCAGCTCTTGGCTGAAGACCGCTCACCCAGGGAGACTCTGCAGTTCAATAAATTCTTTGATGTTTCCAGCAGTCTTGTTCAAATGCAGTGGATAGCTCCTCAGGTGGTTTCTCAGAAGCCTGAAAGTGGGGACATCTATGATCTCCTCTTCCTCAGGTTCGACAGAGGACCTTTGGGTGCACTTTTGTTTAAACTTGGTAAGTCAAGGAAGTTGGTGAGTAAGTAAGATGTTTATGATGATGACATTATGATTAAGAAAATAAAACCATTCTAGAAATGTGGGTTTTCTGTGTCATCCTATAAATAGGCTTGCCTTTCAAACATTTCATATAGTTGTGGGTTTTTTTTCCAAGTAACCTGTGCCCAACATGGGATGCAAACTCATAACCTTGAAATCAAGAATCACATGCTCTACCAACTGAGCCAGCCAGGTGCCCTCATATAGTTTAAGAAAGCTTTGTGAATGATTTTCTAAATGTTAGGGAATATAAGATAGTCAAGAATTTGGAAATTGTACTAATTGTCCATTGTGATGAATGAATGGACTTCCATGTTTGATACTTTCCAAAACAAATACATACTTGAATATTTTAAAAGTACTTACTATGCCCATTAAAAAATTCTGTGTTGAAGGAATGTAATACTTTTTCTATTAAAATTATTTGATTTAATTTATTATGTTTATTCATTTTTGAGAGAGAGAGTGACAGAGTGCGAGTGGGGGAGGGACAGAGAGAGAGAGAGAGACACATGAAGCCAAAGCAGGCTCCAGGCTCAGAGCTGTCAGCACAGAGCTATATGCAGGGATCGAACTCCTGAGCTGTGAGATCATGACCTAAGCTGCAGTCTGACACTTAACTGACTGAGCCATCCAGGCACCCCTATTAAAAGTATTTTAGATAGGGGTGCCTGGGTGGCTTAGTTGGTTAAGCGTCCGACTTTCGCTTAGGTCATGATCTCGCGGTTTGTGGGTTCGAGCCCCGCGTCGGGCTCTGTGCTGACTGCCAGCTCAGAGCCTGGAGCCTGTTTCAGTCTGTGACTCCCTCTCTGACCCTCCCCTGCTCAACGCTGTCTCTCTCTCTCTGTCTCCTAGAAATAAATAAACATTAAAAAAAAAAAAAAAAAAAAAAAAGTATTTTAGATAATATTTTAAATATTATATTTAGCTATTTTAGATATCTATTGCTTCTCAGATTGGAGTGTGTAAGGCATATGTTTTAAAAGAAGAGAAAGCAATGGTTGGTTAGAATTTGGAAAGAGAGGGGTGCCTGGGTGGCTCGGTTGGTTAAGTGTCTGACTTCGGTTCAGGTCATGATCTCATGGATCCTGAGTTTGAGCCTGACAGCTCAGAGCTTGGAGCCTGCTTTGGATTCTTTGCCTCCTTCTCTGTCTGTCTGCCCCTCCCCTGCTTACATTCTGTCTCTCTCAGAAATAAATAAAACATTTTTAAAATTAAACAAAAAGCATTTGGAAAGAGTTTTATAACTTTTTTGGTTTCCTTTTAGATAAAATTGTTGAAAAAATCTTTTTCAGTATTATGAAAATCATGTATTAATGTTAATCAGGAAACGTATTTTTAAGAAAGATTTTATTTTTAAGCAATCTCTACACCCAATGTGGGGCTCAAACTTACAACCCTGAGAGGAAGAGTCATATTCTCTACCCACTTAGCCAGCCAGATGCCCCTCAACCAGGAAACTTTAAAACAAACTTGTCTTTGTATAGTTTATTTGTCTTTTATTGTTTTTCATTGCCAGCTCTGCCCTGAAATATATGATTATCTTTAGGTAGTTTTATATGATTTAACATTCTTGAGAGAACCTCACTTAGGTTTAAAAAATAGATTTTAATGAATGCATGTTATTGCTGCTTGAAAACATAGAAAAGTAAATAAATTTTTAAACTCTGTGCATGATTTGGCTCTGTGATACAACGTTAAGTCTTTATTTGTTTTTAAAAATGTTTATTATTTTGAGAAAAAGAGAGAGAGAGAGGGAGACAGAGAATCCCAAGCAGGCTCTGCGCTGGCAGCAGCTGTCCATGTGATGGATACAGGGCCTGATCTCATGAACAGTGAGATCATGATCTGAGCTGAAATCAGGAGCCAGATGCTTAACTGACTGAGCCACTCAGGTGCCCCCAAAGTTAGGTTTTTAAAGATATTGTAGTGTTTGTTAAATAGATGTCCGTTTACTGTTTTTGTTTGTTTGTTTGTTTGTTTCTTTATGGATCTACTTGCCTCTGAAACTGAATTGTTGAAATAAATCTACTTGAAAATGACCTAACCTGAATCGTATAAGGAGTATAATGTGAGGTCTATATTCTTTCCACATAATAAAAATGCATCTAAATTTATTTATAATGCTAACGTTGTCTAAGAAAAAAATGTTTAGAATCTCATTTATTATAAAATAATCCAGTTCTTTGCCCGACTACATTTTTAACAGTTGTATGTCTCCATATACAACATTCATTAAAGTGGATGTTAGATGTTTTGCATGTCTGTTAAAACACACACACATATACACATGCACACACACATACACCCTCTAAATTACCCAGTTACCTGTCAAACAGAAGGCTGTCTGCCCACATATACCTAGCTTTTCTTCAGCCCTCCCTTGTGGGCCTACTCACAACAGCTTTGCAAAAAGCACAGCTTTCTCTTCCTATCTCTAGCACATTTGCCTTCTTACTAAAGTAAACAGGCTCTCAGTGTAGGGATTTAGAGGGCTTCCTGCTAATTGCCAGCTTGTAAACTTAATTGGACTGTCTCCCTGGGCACTGTTCCTAAATCAATTAGGCAATGAGTTGGCTGTCACATCTTTTTCCCAAGAAGGTCTCTTGGAAGAGAATTATCCAATAGAAATCAAGCATTCAAATGAAAAGGTGATAACTTCTGCACTGACATTTATCATTAAAATTTTATTTTCAATATGACTCTTAAGTTTTGTAGGATAGGGAAATTTTACAGACTTACAGACTCTTTAAAATATCTAGATACGGAGTTTCCCAGAATTTTAAAAAACATAAGATTAATATTTATTACATATTATTACTTTTCCTAGGAAGAGTAGATTCCTTGAAACAGTAGATTCCAACTAACAGATCTTTTTTTTTTTTTTTTTTAAAGAAAACCCTGTTTAAAGAACAGATTTTTCTTAGGTTCTGCTACTAAATACATCCAAAAATTTTAATATACTTCTTGAATTAACACAGTGCTGATTCTGGGCATCCATGTGGAATTTTCATGTATAATTCAAGTTACTGCATATATAAACAGGTAGTTGCATGTGCAGTTTCCCCGCTAGGGAGCATTTATGAGATTTTTTTCATAAGCTTGTTATGCAAGCCTTTGGAAATTTTGACATGCAAGGTGTAGCTTACAATTTAAGAAGCTGACATAGATCATAGTTTTAAAATAGAATGCTGTCATATGTAAACGTGGCAGTGGCTGGTGCCAATATGCTAAGATTTTTGGAGTTTGACTTTTAGAATAGGTCAGTATAATGTTGAAGGAAAACTTTGTTCCAAGGCTAGAGCTTCCATTCTAAGTCCTTATGATCATCACGCAAATGTGTTGGGGATTAAAAGGCCATCACTACTGTTATGAGAATTTGAAGGGCATGTCTTACTCAGGAAGGAGCTAGAAGTATCATCCTCCCACATGGAAGCCAAGAAGTACTGTTTTATATAAAGCAAAATATAATCAGATTCGTTTGCTTGGCAATCATTGTCCCATATTTCCACATATGTAGACTGAGATTAATTTTTCAAAGACAAGCCCCTAATTACATTACAGAGATATTAAAGCTTTTTCCATTCTCATCAGTACCTTTATCAACTTGCACTGCTCTCTTTATACTCTGGATCATATCTCTGCCCTCTCAAGAATCTTCCCTTTTAATTGATACTTCATTAAGTTTATCTGCTTCTTACCACCTACCCACCCAACTGAACCAACTACTTATCTCTGTGAACATAAACCTTTCCTTCTCAATTCGGTGGAAAAGGAGACCTTCCTCTTGTCCAAGACTAGTTCTACTGCCACTTCCACTCTGGATCCCACTACATTCCTTTAGATGGCTTTACTTGGTCCTCCTCTCCACTTGCCCCACAAATCTTACTATACCCCGAGATACTGGCCCAAACCATACCATAAAACGAACAGACAAACATCTCTTCCTTAACTTTGTGTCTCCTCTGTTATTATTCAAATGTTCACCTTCTTTTCATAGTCAAACTCACCAAAATAATAGTGAACCTTGACTTTTTCTACTTCTTCACTTCCCGTTCACTCCTCACGGTACCAGGTTCTTGCTTGGGTCTTTAGTATTCTCCCAGAACTGCTCTCGCAAAGGTCACCAGAGACTTCCTACTTCCTACATATATTTCTTTTATGTTACTTGATGACTTTTCAGCATTTAATGGTGGCTGACCACTTCTGTCACAGAATTCTCATTGTGCTTGCCTTCCATGACCCTAGATACACCTTTTGTTCACTTTTGGGTTCTCCTGCCTATTCATGAATATGTTGAGGCTCTTTAAGATTCCATTTTTAGTTCTCTTCCCGTTTTATGTAGATTGAGAGTTTCTTTCTTTCTCCCCAAACTTGTTTCTTCTCCTATATTCTCTATTTTGATGGATGATATTATTATTCAGCTGGAATCCCATGTCAGAAATCCTAGACTCCTCCCTCACCCCTGATGCCGTATCCCATCAATGCTACCTTCCAAATACTGTCAAAAACATCTCTGTACCGCCTTCCTGCCATGACCTTCATCTGGACCTTCCCTGTTTTCAAGGAGTGAGCAAGTAGTAGCTCTCTGTAATCTTCTGCCTTCCAGTCTTCTCATCCTGCCCCGCAGTCAATCCCCTGAACTGCCACCAGAGTAATCTGACTTCTTATTTGGTCATGGGATCTCTAGCCTGAAATCCTTCAGGGGTTGATAAGTCCTTGTCTGCCTCTCAGGCTTCATCTCCCGAGATGTATTTGCACAACTGTAGCTCCCCATTCAGGGCATGTGCTCTCACATCCCCTCCTTCCTATGGTGCTTTTGATAGTATTCCATCTACCTGGAGTGCCCTGGCAGTGCTCTCCCAGAGCCTGCAAAGTTAGGAAAAGGTTAAATATTCAAGTGATTTTATTAAGCAAGAAATAAATAAAGCTAATATCTTCCCTCTTATAGGATCTTGA